CCCTACGGGCTAGTGACGGCCATGTGATAAGCGTTTCCGTTGAAGGCACTATTCTTTGTGTTATACTAGTACTGTACTGGCGGCCCTTCTCACAGAACCGAACGACACATGCGTAAACTCATCCTGGATACCATCGCTGGTCGCAGAGTGTCCTCAATCGTAGCCTGCATCCTCGTACTGTTGCTCCTAGAGTACATCACGTGTCGGTTCATACTTGCTAGAGTGTCGTACACTGAGATAGACTGGAAGGCTTACATGCAGGAGGTGATCGCCAAGGAGTGGTAGGAGACTGGCATCACTGTAGTTCAGGTTGAGGGTTGGCTGGTCGATGGCGATACGAACTACTATCATCTCAAGGGTGATACCGGGCCCTTAGTATACCCAGCAGCCTTCCTGTACTTGTACGCTATCCTGAGGTGGATAGCCGGTGGGGACGGCACGGATATCCCGGCGGCTCAGCAGGTGGCTGTTAACGACTGCTCGTGGGGTGACGCAGCATCTCAGGTTTTTCTCTGGCTCTATCTGGTCACTGTCGCTATCGTACTCGTGTGTTTGGCGTATGCTGGCAGGAAGAAGTCAGTTCCACTAGTCTACTATGCACTTGTATGCTTCTCTAGACGGACACATAGTATCTTCCTATTACGCCTTTTCAATGACGCCTGGTAGGTGTTTCAACCCCTTACTAGTCTTACACTCGCTACCTGTCAGGTGCGTTGCCCTCGTCCACTTGTCCGTCCTCCTCATGGTGGTCCTCGGCTATCGTCGTTTAGGCTGTGTGGTGTACAGCCTGGCAGTTGGTGTTAAGATGAATGCCTTTCTCTGGGCCCCGGGCATATTCGTCTTCTTATTGGGTCCGGGAGGACTCACCTGGCAGAGGGCCTTCTCAACCCTGTGCTTCGTCGCTGTCTGGTGTGGGATCCCGCAGGTCGAGGCAGTTGTTTCGGTGGTGACCAAATATGCCGTCATTTTCAGATTCTCATTGGCCTCCCCTTCCTCACCACCCATCCCCTTCCTTATCTGCACAAGTCCTTCGAGCTCTCCCGAGTTTTTTTCTACAAGTGGACTGTCAACTTCAAGTTTTTGCCAGAAGATATCTTCGTGTCTCGTGAACTCGGCATCTTGTTGCTCATCACGACAATCATGTTGTGGGCTTGGTTCGCTCACCGGCGATGGCTTCCAACTTGGTTGCTGCAAGATCCTCTTCTAGTACTCTACAGTAGCAACTTCATCGGCATCGCGATGTCTCGAACGATTCATTATCAGTTCTACTGTTGGTAAGTGACATGTCGTCTACTGTTGCTCCAACGTTGAGCTCTTACCGACTACATGCAGGTACTC